TTTTTTTTTTTTTTTTTTTTTTTTTTTTTTAAATAGTAGCATAGAAGATATAGTGATGCACAGATTAATTTCTCAATGTCACAGTTTTTGGTGGTATGGCTGGTGCTGTTTTAGTCCATTATAGGTCTTGTGTGTCTCATGGCTTTTTAAAAAAGGAAAAAGGTTTTCCTGAATCATTCCTCATCGGCATCTTGCCCACACTGATGCAGTCTCATCCTTTCCTAGCGCTGCAGGCTGTGTTTTAGAAGTGTAACTAACACAAATGTCTGGTCTCTTATGCGTTGTTTTCTTTATGACAGTTTCCTTCACTGGGGCAGGGAGCAAGTTCTAAAAAATGTATAGAAATAGAGAAGAGATCTTCAAGTTAAACCCACAAGTATTGTGTGTATGAAATCTTAAGGTGCTCTGTTTACACTCTTCCAGTATCAACGTTGATTATGCGTTATGAGGGTTTTTTTTCTTCATACTCTAGAAAGATGTAAAAACTCACTGCAGACATTAAAAGGTACTTTTTTTTTTTCTGTTTATGCATTTGTGTTTTTTGGCACAACTTGACCTACTTCTAATATGCAGGTAGGAGAAGGAAAAGTCTGAGGAAGACAAAGCTCTTGCAAAAAGCTGGCCAGATTTGTTCTAGACAAATGGCTTAGGGCAGCAATAAAGTTTCTTTGTTGCTGAAGCCTTGACCTCTTTAAAGGGTTTTATAAGAAAAATGATTTAAGTTTAAGTTATGTTCATGGGTCAGTTATTAGCCTGAATATATTTGCCAAGTTGTGAAAAATCCCTTTTGTGTGTAATTAAAATTGTATTTATTAAAAGTTGGTAAACGGCTATTACCAGTCCCACTTTTAGAAATGTTAATAAATCATTAAAGATTCCTGGGTTTCTAAAGATGCATTAAAGCTGAAATTATAAACGTTGATAAGCTGTTCATGAATAATAGATACACTCTGGTGCAGATGCCCTGCAGCTGTTTCCCAGGCACTTAAAAGAACAAGGCACGTGTCATTTCACATGAAGGGTTAGCCAAGGGGGTTTTTCACAACTGAAATGTTTCCTGAAACTGCTCATAAATGTGATTTGTTACACATTTATAACACGTTAGGGGGTGTAACAGAAACCAGTCATGATACAAATAGTACATTTTGAAGTTAATTCAGGTACAGAAGTATCATGCATCACAATAATGGAAAAATGGAATGGCGTACGCTGTTTTTCTAGAATTATTACATTGTTAGAAATCATTAAACTATTCAATAGAAATTCACAGAATAAATGATCGCAACTTGTAAATGTTGGAAAGCGGCGCTGCTGGTTCTGTTTATGACAGTAAAACCTAAACCAGGTTTCATGAGCCTGTTTGATCCCTTTTGAGGACTTTTATTTAGCAGTTTGACACTGAAGAAGTGAACAGCAGTTGCCTGCACAAAACTGCTCAGACATTTTGACATTTTCACCCTCACATATTCTGTGTTTATCATAAGCCAATGATGGTTTTTGGATCGAATTTTTGCTGCTGTAAAATTGGAGTAAGCCATGAATGAGGCTTCCTTTGTGGGCAAACTCTAAGGAAACTTCTTCATTACCTGTGGGCAGCGTTTGTCAAAATGCAGAAAGGCTGCTTTCTATACATGCATGAGTATTTGCTAGTTCCTTTGATATAGCAATAACATCGCTGCTCCTAGAGCTGACTCTAAGCTTCTTTTTGCCTGGTTGGTCAGACAGCGTCTTCCTGAGTTCCTCGTTTTACCCAAATTTATTCTGGACACAAACGAGCGTGGTACTGAGAATTGCAGTGTAACGGATAGGTGTGTGTGAATCATTCTTACTTTAGTATTACAAGGGCAAATGTGTCCAAATAACATGTAATTATGCTGATTGGGCATGTTGTTGGATGCTATTGGTATTCTGGTGACCATATTTAGTAACAGTTTACTGTAATAATGTTGATATAGTCCATGGAAGTATGTTTGAGTGATGTAAAAACAAGATGTGTGTTGAAGGGTGATGCAGGTTCATGTTTTGGGTCTTCAGTTTACTGTGTTGACAGCAGCAGGAGGTACGGGGGAGGGAGAGGAACAATTCAAGGCTTCCTGTGCTCATTCCAGGGAGCTCTTTATATGTGTGCAGAGCTGAGCTGGGAGTCTGTTTGGCTCAGCATAGTGTACACTTGAACTCTGCCATTAGCAAATTGTTTCTGGAACTGCTGTGTTTTTTTTTTCCAGCTGAGCGCAGTTTGTTTTCCTCTAGGTTTTTAGATGTGGTGCAGGTACAGGATAAGCTTGTGGGGTACTTACCTATTTTGTACTGTTGCACTTTAAAAAAATTGCAAAACTCACAGCGAAAAGAAAACAGTTAAAGCATTTTTACTGTTAAATATGCAGGCCTCTTTTTCTGATCTCCTAATGATCCCACATCTTTTGAAGAACAACCTTGGGAAATCATAATTTATTGCTCTTTGTAACTCTTATTTTATTTTCTCTGCAACACTTTAAAAATGTAACTGAAAAGCTGAATGTCATTTTCTGGCTGATTGTAATCTAATGGTAACCCAGGTGAAATTACTGTCCACAATCACCCCAGTTATTTAGGACCTGCCCTTTTATACCCATTCAGTGAAGTAAATCTTTACACTCTTCCTACCCTTAAAATCCAGCAAGTCTGATGTAAGAGAAGGAGTGTTTTTTTTTTGTTTTTTTTACCCATGTCTGTCTGTTTGTTACCCTCCTTTCGGACTTTGGATGTACGTGGACTCAGGGTTTTTATTTTTGAAGAAAACACATGAAAGCATTTGTTGTGCATGTAAGCTAGTACCTGGCAATTTGGAAAGACGACAGATTGACGTACCAACTATGTATTGCCAGTTTCTGTTTCAGTCAAGCATGCGGTTTTATTTCTTTTTGCCATCTATCCACTGTCTGTTCTTTTGGGCTGTATTTTTTTATGGCCTAATGTGGACTCGAGTATTGAATTAAAATCATTTCCCCATGAGTTTCACCAGGTTAAAGAGCGGTTTTCTAAAAGGTGCTAAAATGACTTCATGGTGTTCATTGAGTAGAAGTAGGCTGATGTGTTGCTGATGTGTTTGTGTGGTTGATCATGTTATCATTTGTATTTATTACACCATAACCAGCAGCTTTGTGTGTGGTAAAGATATCCTGACTGTATAGCTAACGTTTTGCTGTTTATATGAAGGCGCGTAGAAAAGCTGAGTCTTTTATAATAATGAAAGTGTTTTCTTTGGCTCTGGGTTCTGATGTGTACAAATATTACAAATGATATGGAAAAAGAGTATTGTCTTAAACTGCAACCTTTCCCATTTCCAGATGCTTTTCTTTTAACTGCACAACAGTTTCCTGTCATTGTTTTCAAGGATGTACTGAGTCGGAGGATCACTCGTGTGCCGGCTGCAGTAACTTTGATCTCCCTGATACTCTTTCATCTCACGCATCATGTTGGCTGTTTGATCTGCTGAAAACAGGAGCACTTGTAATTACCACATGATGTCACATTCCCGAAATAAATAGAGTTGACTGTAAACTTTGTGAGAATGTGCACACGGCCAGTGTTTAGATGAACACAATACATGCTCCAAATGTTTTTTCCCCTCTATGCTTTTGTAAAAACAGCTCCTTTGCAAACCAATAAACTTCTTACGTTGAGTTTTTTCTTCTGATCACTTTTTGTGTTAAATAATTTTGAAGGTTATAGATGCATATCGATGAGGAGATTGATGATATATATTAGTCTCCTGTGTTTGTGTTTAGACCTGTCTTTCTCTTTCCCCTCACTCCAAAACCTGTTATGGCAGATAGATGTCTTCCTCTGGCTTTGTTTGAGGTATCTTTCTGTTAAAAGGGAATTCTTCCTCCCTGCTCCTCCTCTAAAACATTCTGAGTTTGGTGATTTCAAGGAGAACGGTACTTGTCTGACTGCATTGTGCCTAGTGTAAAGTTTGGTGGAGGGGGGATTATGGTGTGGGGTTGTTTCTCAGGCGATGGGCCCCTTCGATCCAGTGAAAGGAACTCTTAATGCTTCAGCATACCAAATCATTTTGGACAATTTCATGATCCCAACTTTGTGGGAACAGTTGGGTGAAGACCCCTTCCTGTTTCAATATGACTGCGTACCAGTCATGGATGAGCAAGTTTGGTGTGGAAAAATCTGACCGGCCGGCAGGGAGTCCTGACCTCAATCTGACCGAATGCTTTTGGGATGAATCAGAGTGGAGACTGTGAGCCAGGCCTTCTCATCCAACATCAGTGTCTGACCTCACAAATTCTGATACACTTGTAAACTTTGTGGAAAGCCTTCCCATAAGAGTTGAAGCTGTTATAGCTACAGTTCATATGTGTGTGAAGTGAATACGTGGTCATCTTGGCCACGTCTACATGTCAAGATGCATCCACTGCAGTTTCACTTCATATTTCTCACATCGTATATTTTAAATTTCCACTAGGATATGTATGTTCATA